AAATTAAGTTTTAATTTCAAACAATACAGTTTCATTTCTAAAATGCACATTATCTTTCAGAAATGTCTGTTCCTCATTTATAAGTCTTTTTTACCTGTCTTTTATTACTTTTGCTTTGTTTACATTTTTACTGTTTCTCTCCAAATACTGAACACAAAACTTTATTTTCTTCCATCATAAATCAAAGGACAATGAAAAACAGAAATTTCATTATCATTTTTCTGTAGAAATAGTTAAGTATTTAAATATGTATGTATGGAAAACAATATTATTCTAACTGGAAGAGAACAGTAACTATTTCTCTGACTACTTATTAGAATTAAATGCAATAAAGTCTTCTCTAACAATAAATTCTAGTTCAATACTACCAAGTGACTTGTTAAAGACAACCAAAAAAATCTTGTTAATAAAATTGCAAACTGCCTAAATTTATACTAGGATCAGCAATAATTAGTCAAGTTTTCCTTGAAATTCCTTCACCAAAGTTAATAACATGCTAATGATTTTCTATTCATTATTTTTTATAACTTCTCTGGTAACGTTCCACTGGGATTTTAGGTACACGTTTATGGCTAACTGCTTTGCCCTGCCCTATCTTTCAGAATAACAAGTTTCAGGTGTGAGCCACCCTGGTAAGCCACACTTCTCATTTTTAGCTTAATGTAGAAGTTAGTATAGGCTAGATCACAGGCTCTCAGTTTTGTTTTAGTGTTGTTGTTTTTTTTTTATTGTCTCATGATATCTTTATATTCAAAAATTACTGGGGACCCCCAAAGAGGTGTTATTTTCAAGGGAAACAGAAATCATCTGACAAACAACCTGAAAGACCAGGACACATCAATACAATAAAAACTACAAAACACTGCAAAAAATATTAAAGAAGATCATAAAAAAGGAATATGCTGTCCTCAAGGGTAAGAAGACTCAATGTTGTCAAAATATCAATTCTCCCCCGTGGGGCGCCTGGGTGGCTCAGTCAGTTAAGCGTCCAACTCTTGATCTCGGCTCAGGTGACAATCTCACAGTTCTGGGATCCACGCTGGACTGGACATGGAGCCTGCTTAAGATTCTCTCTCTCCCTCTTCCTCTGCCCCTCCCCCACTCGCTCACAGGTACTCTCTCTCAAAAAAAAAAAAAAAAAAAAAAAAAAAAAAAGAGAGATATCAATTCTCCCCAAACTGATCTATAGAATCAAGGTAATCCAATAAAAATCCCAGCAGGCTATTGTGTAGAAATTATAAAACTGATGCTAAATTCACATGAAAATACAAAGAAACCTAAAATACACCAAACTTTGGAAATAAAAGAACAAAGTTGGTGGACCAACACTAATTATGAGACTCATAAAGCCACCAAGGCAGAGAGGTATCAACACCAAGATAACATCTAAATCAGCGGAATGAAACAGAGTCCAAATATAGATCAACACATAAATGACAACTAATTTTTGACAAAGATACAAATTGTTGATTGAGAGGATTTTGCAGGTATAAACAGACCAAACTTACCAAACTGTACTCTCTATGTACAGTTTGTTGCACAATGATTGTATGTCAATGAATTTGTTTACAAATTATAGGTGGCCTTAGTAAGTACTCTTGGGTAAGACAGAAACTACACAGAAATGGATGGAGCGTGTGAAAGGAGATGTAGATTGCATTTACAGACCATTTCAAATTTTTTTGGCTTTTAAGGGAATCATATATATTGGGTAGTGACAGAAGAGCAGAGTCTAAATACTGGGAAGCCCAGATCTTGTTTAAATAGTAATGAATGAAGAAGTTAAACATTCAAGACAGAAGAACAAATGATTAAAAGACCCTGAGAAGGAAAGAGGGAGGTGAAATCAATAACACAGGTGTCAGTATTAGTCTTTGACAATAAAAGAGACACATTCTCTGCTGCAGTAAGTAACAAGAGGGTAGGCAGAGGATGGGATCAAATAAAGGGGAATATGGAAAATTTTGGTGCCAGAAATATGAGGATAATAGATTTTATTATCTCTGTGATATCATAAGGGGAGGCCATTTGTTAAGGATATGTATTTGAGATGTCTGAGGATTTCAAAGGTTTAAAGGGTGAAAGAAAGTATAAAATAATCATTACAAAAGTTGAGAAAATGAACTTTCCAGAGAACCACAGTCACAAGATTGCTGGGCTCAGTTCAGGCCGATGATCAGTAATTTTTAGTGATATCTGCCAAGTTAGTTCATCCTCCAATGTCATTTAGCTACTCAACAACAGTTTATCCAGAGAAAGGACTCTGTCAGATGGGTGTGATGGAAAATAAAAAACGAGGTAAAGCCATTTCAGGTATTTTCAAGAGTGTAATGATAGACAATGGATTCTACACTGGGTAAGAAAGGAGGAGGTGAATGAGAAAAAATAGAAGTCAACAGATTAGCACTCTCGGTAAGGGAGAACTCTTGTAATACAGACACTGGAGCAAGTGAGCTAGAGAGATAAAAGATTAGAGCAAGGGAAAAGAAGGATTTGACCCTTTTCTATCTATCTCAATTTATCTTACTGAATTCAGGTTTTTTTAAGTTTATTTATTTATTGTGAGGTAGAGACAGAGAGCACAAGCAGGTAAGGGCAGAGAGAAGGAGAGACAGAATCCCAAGCAGGCTCCATGCCATCAGTGCAAAGCCCAATGCAGGCCTCGAACCCATGAACAATGAGATCATGACCCACACCAGGATCAAGAGTCAGACACTTAGTCGACTGAACCACCCAGGTGCCCCTGCATACAGTTTTCTTCACAGAGCAGTATAACAAGTATTACTAGAAACTATAATTTCTCTTAGATGAAGGCCATTTGCAATGATCCCAATTTAGTTCACCTAAAACAGCAGCAAAAATAACAATAAATATCCAGTAAAATCTATTTCAGGAGAAAAAAATGAAAACTAACACTAAGAGCCAGAAGTTGCCAAACTATAACTTCATATTCTTATGAACAACAAGCTAGTAATTCTAGATACTTTAGCTAATCAACAGAAATAGCATTACTTGTTCCACCTAATCCCAAAAAGAAGACTGGTGCTCCTTTTTAAAACACAGTCAGTACTTAATTCCTTTACTATAGAAATTACAGAAATACTTGAACAATGAAATTTGTTACAATGTATCACATAGTTAATACCTGGAAAACCTAACAATTTAAGGAATAAATCTTTTTTTTTTTAATTTTTTTTTTTTTTTTTTAACGATTTTTTTTTTTTTTATAGACGTTAGATTTATTTTGAACAGAGACAGAGCATGAAACGGGAGGGTCAGAGACAGGAGACAGAACTGAATCTGGCTCCAGGCTCAGGCTCTGGCGGAGTCAGCACAGAGCCTGACACGGGGCTCAAACTCACGGACCGTGAGATCATGACCTGAGCCAAAGTCGGACGCTTAACCCACCAAGCCACCCAGGCGCCCCAGGAATAAATCTTATCTAAATAAACTGTGTGGGGCACCTGGGTGACTCGGTGTGTTGTGTCTGACTTCAGTTCAGGTTATGATCTTGAATTTCATGAGTTCGAGCCCCACATTAGGCTCTGTGCTGACAGCTCAGAGCCCAGAGCCTGCTTCGGATTCTGTGTCTCCTTCTCTCTCTGCCCGTCCCTTGTTCATGCTTTGTCTGTCTCCCTCTCTCCCTCCCTCTCTCTCTTTCTCTCTCAAAAATAAATGAACATTAAAAAAAATTTTAGGGGCTCCTGGGCAGTTGAGCATCCGACTTCAGCTCAGGATTGATGGGATCAAGCTCCACGTTGGGCTCTGTGCTGACAGCTCAGAGCCTGGAGCCTACTTCAGATTCTGTGTCTCCCTCTCTCTCTGTTCCTCCCCCACTCACACTCTGTTTCTCAACAATAAATAAATAATTTTCTTTTAATTTTAAATAAACTGTGTATATACTTCTCATTAGAAAACAGAGTAAACCATACTTGTAAATGCAAAGTTGTAGTAAATGTAACATACAACACTGCTACAAAGCAAAAAAACTCTATTATCAATATTAATAAGTTGTCATTTACTGAGCCTGCTAGACGCTATTTAATCTTTGCAACTTCATAGTGATAGCATTATTATTACACCCATCTTATAGACACTTAACAGGGCTAAGTAATCTAGCTAAAAAAAATTCCAAATTAGAATCAATGAGTTTGATTTTTAATGAAAGAGTCCACAGTAAAACCTTGCTAAGGACAATTTCTTGGTACATTCGAGCTTTAGTTGATATGATGCTTTAACTCAGGGGTAGTTAAAATTTTCCTGGAAAGGGCCGGACACTGTGGACCAAACAGTCTCTGTCATGATTACTCAACTCTGTCACTCTAGAGCAAAAGTGTCCAGACAATATATAAATGAAGGAGCACAGCTTGTTACAATGAAACTTTATTTATGTACACAGAAATTTCAATTTCATATAAACTTCCTGTGTCATAAATATTCTTCCCCCCCCCCCCCCCCCCCCCCCAACCATTTAGAAATGTTAAAAACTATTCTTCGGGTGCCTGGGTGGTTCAGTCAGTTAAGTGCATCTGACTCTTGTTTTTAGCTCAGGTCATAATCTCACAGTTCATGGGATCGAGCCCCAAGTCAGGCTTCCCACTGAAAGCACAGAACCTGCTTGGGATTCTCTCCCCTGCCCCCTCTCTCTGCCCCTCCCCCACTCTGTTTCTCTTTCTCTCTCTCTCTCTCAAAATAAATAAACTTAAAAAAAAAGAACTATTCTTAGCTCATAAGCTATACAAAAACAAGAGGTAGACCAAATTTGGCCCATGGGTCATAGTTTGCTGACTCTTATTTTTAACTGAAAAGTTAAACATTAATAAATATTAATTTAAAAATATAAATACAACATACAATCATTTAAACATAAATAATATTTTCAAGTAAGGAGTTTCAAATAACCATTGGAGTATTATTTCCATAACTGATACATATTGGTATTTAGAAGTACAGTACCTCTTCTCTGATACCACTTTTAACTTGCTCATCTTGAGTTACTTCATTTCATCATTGCAGATAATCTAAAAGAAAAAACGTTAATGATTTTAAACACATGATTATTTCTAAATATTAGGTGACATAAAAGCCAGACAACTGAAAGTTTTTATTGTAAAGATAACAAGATAACACAAGAAACCAAGGAAGAATGTTTTGAGTTTTATGTGCTTCTGGCAAGCTACTTCAATGTGCAAAAATGTGTGACTAGTATAAGACCTAAAACCAGCCAGTAAAAGGTTATCAAAATCCTGGTGCTACAAAAATGCAAAAACCTAACATAATAATCTAATATCTAGTGTTAACATTTCTTTTGAGACAGTTCAAATTATCTTTCCTGTTCTTACAGTCCTCCTTAAAATACTCAAACCAACCACAGCAATGTACTTACTTGTCCACCATTCACACTGTGGTCAAATACTGTTAAATGTGTACCATTATTTCTATGAGAGAGCACTTTTTAACAACAAATTGTGTACACAGTAAAAACCATCTATAATATCTCATTCAATATACGTAATGCATATTTTCCTTCAACAAAGTTTTATCATTAGAAAGTGTACATTATACATTTTAAAGCTTTAAGTCTTGGCTTGCAGAATCTTTACAACTTTTCGTATTTCTTTTGCAACTATTCACCCTCCAAAAAAGAAAAAAAAAAAAAACCCTGGACATTTTTAAATTTTACATATAAATGCTTACTGAGGCAGAATTTTGTGGCATCACTAGAAAGTTTAAAAATTACTGCCAATTCAACAAGTTTCTCACATATTTATGCAATATATAGTAATGCCATTTAAAGGGAAGGAAACATGCAAAAGAACATAACAGATTTAGAAGATACAGGTATTCTGGATGTTTTTCTTCAATTAACAAAGAACTTTCAACTTCAATAAAACACATGATTTTTTTTCAATTTTTTCATTAATTCAATTACAAAAGAGAAAACATGTATTTAGGATTATGTATAAAAATTACATAATTGTTTTTAAGGTTACTAGAAATTTTAAATTGCTATTCTTTTAATTGACTTAAAAAAAACCCTACCAATTGAAAGTAACTTTTTCCAATTTCCAAATTAATTAAGAATCAAAAATCCAAAGGAGGAAAAAAATCCTATGTAATTTCAAAAGCACTAATGCTGCCATAAACATAAAGTTAAAGTAATTTACTTCTACTTGTTGGGTGGTAGGGTGCTCTCTAAAAGTGCATTAATAGCACATCTCATGAAAAGTTCACTGCGAATCTCATTAGAACTGATAAAGTTGGGGGGCACCTGGGTGGCTCAGTCGGTTGAGTGTCCGACTTCAGCTCAGGTCACAATCTCATGGTTTGTGAGTTCGAGCCCTGCGCCGGGCTCTTTGCTGATGGCTCAGAGCCTGGAGCCTGCTTCAGATTCTGTGTCTCCCTCTCTCTCTGCCCCTCCCCCACTTGTGCTCTGTCTCTCTGTCTCTCAAAAATAAATAAATGTAAAAAAATAAAAAATAAAAGAACTGATAAAGTTGGATAGGTTAATGTTGGGCACTTACATCACAGCCAATTCTATTTCAACAGTTAAGAAATTATTCAAATTTCCAACTCACAATAAAATAATAGTCGAACAACAGGCATTCCTATCCTCTCCCTCCTAGGACTGAATTAAAGTAGACAGCAGCAATAAAGAGAAATTAAGTTATGTTGAAGCCCCACAGTGCCAAAAAGGAAACAAAAGTTGGGGATGGGAGGTAGGTGCCTTGTCCAGAAGAACTCAGGACACTTGGAACCCAGGGACTAGAAGATGCCAAGTAAAACAGAAAGAGACTGCTTGGCAGCTAACTAAAACCTTGTAATCCCAACTTCTTACCTCCTCCATACCTCATACCTCACCATTGTGGGAAATGTTCAACAGCTAGTCACAGAACTCCTGACAAATAATCTTCACTAAAGAAACTGACAACCTCAAAGAATTCTGCTTTCTGGGACTAAACAGATCCCCAGGAAAAAGGCCAGCTCTCAATCCCATCATCCTAGAGCTAAACCAGTATGGTCACTTTTTATAGCCTAAGGCCAGAGTGTCCCCAGAGAACTTGGGAACTTTCTGTTTTGAAAGTCTGTGTCCGTTACAGTATCACGTACTAAAAAGAGGCACCTAGAGAAGTGCTGCATTTCACCAAGTTTGTGGCTTTGCCAACCAAGTGTGACAAAGCAAGAAAGGGGCAGAGAAACTGAGAATGTATAACAAGGGCATAATGATAAAAACTGACCGTGAAGTTTAGGTATAATCTACTCATTCCTCTTTATGGGGTCATTCTCATCACCATAAAATCATGTTATTTCTGAGTCTTGAAGGGAAAAACAACCTCTCTTGTTCCCACTTCCTCAATCCTCAATCAAGTCTCATTTAGTTGTTTACACACATTGCCAACCAGTACTCTCTTCCCATCCTCTCCTAAACACACTCCAGCCAGATTCTCCCCATCCCACTTGTCTGTGTCAGTGACCTCCATGTCCCTAAATCCAACTGTCAACTCTCAGTCTTCATCTTATTTGTCCTATCAGCAGCATTTGATAGAACTGGTCACTCCTTTTTCTTGGAAATACTTTCCTCATTTGGCCATACTTTCTAAGCTTCCCTCACTGGATGCCCCAGGCTCATTTCTTTCTCATCTGTTTCTAACTCCAGTCTCTTCCTTGGTGACCTCATCCAGTCTCATGACTACTCAACATCTCCACTTGGATCTCTAATAATATCAAAACTCAACATATCCAAAACTGATCTCCTGACCCGCTCTCCCCTACCAAGTATGCCCTCACCTAAGCTTTTCCAACTGTAAAGACAATTCTCTCTCCAGTTCTCAGTACAAGGCTTTAACTTCCTCCTTGGCTCCTATCTTACATCCCACATCCAATGCATCAGCAAGTTCTGATAATTCTACTTTCAAAATACATCCAGAATCTGATCACTCCACCATAGCTACTACAATGGTCAAGCAAACCATCCTCATTAGTTTCCCTTCTACCTCTGGCCTCCTACAGTCTATTCTCAACACAACATCCTGACTGATCCTATTAAACCCTTGGGGAAATAAAAGGGGGGGGGGGAACCTTAGGTAAATCTTGTCACCACTCTGCTCGATGTCCTGCAACGCTGCCCATTTCGGTGGCACTAAGCACCCTAGGTGAATACCCCCAGCCGTTCCCCTCCCTGACTTCATCTCCTACCTACAATTCTCCTCACTCATACTGCTCTAGACACACTGTCTGTGCCTCCTTGCTTTCTTCCCACTCTTACCTTAATGCCTTTGCCCAAGCTGTTTCCTCTATCCAAAATGTTCTCCTGCCAGATAGTCTAATGACCAAACAACTCCCAAACTTCTTTTGCTTGAGTATCACCTTTTCAATAAAGTCTAAATTTCAACCATCCTATTTAATTTTGTAAACCAGATCCAGACCCCAGCATACCCACTGTCCCTTGCCTGAATCTACTCTCTCTTCTTCTGGAGCACTTACCACCTTCTAACACTGGATGATTCACAAATTACTGAACACTTGTAAGACTGTACTATGCAGTAACTGATAATATATGAACATGCATCAAAACAACTTTCAAGGGAACAGTTTAGTTTTATAAACTTACAAATGTTCAACAGATACCCCATTAAACCATATATATCAATCCTGTAATCAAATTCATCCCAGACCCTTACCAGTTTATCACTACTGATGACTACAAAGGCAACCACAGTAGGTACCTTCACTTTCTTGAGGTTCTGAGGAAAAAGTGATAGCAACCCACAGTCCTTGGTATGCCCACATAAGAAATCACACGGTCTAATATCTAATATCACACTGGCCAATATTTTACTCATTTAATCACCTTGTAAACTAGACAATTTACTTAACTCTGTGTATTGCTTACTATCTATATTTCCCTGCTAGAATTAAAGCTCCATACAGACAAAAATCTGTTTTACTTAGTAAATGCCTCCCAAGTATCTAGAAGAGAGCCAGCACACTGCAGGTGCTAAATAAGGATACTTAATATTTTGTCTTCCTATCTAGAAACAAAGGTCTGTCTTGAAGAACAATGTTGACATCTATACTGACAATGTCCCATGGATAGCTGGCTTCATCTGAAGATTTGTCACTCTTGTTTAAAAAAAAAACAAAAGCTGACTTCACGACACAGTGTTTTCTTCACAAAGAGGTGCTAGTGTCAAAAACTCTGGCAGGTGTGGGGCGCCTGGGTGGCGCAGTCGGTTAAGCGTCCGACTTCAGCCAGGTCACGATCTCGCGGTCCGTGAGTTCGAGCCCCGCGTCAGGCTCTGGGCTGATGGCTCAGAGCCTGGAGCCTGTTTCTGATTCTGTGTCTCCCTCTCTCTCTGCCCCTCCCCCGTTCATGCTCTGTCTCTCTCTGTCCCAAAAATAAATAAAAACGTGGAAAAAAAAAAAAATTAAAAAAAAAAAAAAACTCTGGCAGGTGAGAGGAAAAAGTTGCTTGAAACTACAAAAAATGATTAACTTTATTAAACAAAAACCTGTTCACTTGAAAATATTTATGGGTGCCTGGGTGGCTGAGTCGGTTGAGCGTCTGACTTCAGTTCAGGTCGTGATCTCATGGTCCGTGGGTTCGAGCCCCGCATTGGGCTCTGTGCTGACAGCTCAGAGCCTGGAGCCTGCTTTGGATTCTGTGTCTCCCTCCCTCTCTGCCCCTCCCCCGCTCACAGTCTGTCTGTCTGTCTGTCTGTCTCTCTCTCTCTCTCTCTCTCTCCCCCTCCCTCCCTCTCTCTCTTGAAAAATAAACATTAAAAAAAATTTTTAAAGAAAAAATAAAAACCAATGTTTAAAGAACTATGTTACAACCTGAACAAGGAGTATATGAATCTCCTGTTACATCCCGAAGTGCAGTGACTTAGTGCATGAGGAGTTCTCAACAGGATGTCAGCGCTGAAAGGTGAAGTGCAGAGTACTTTCACACAGTAGGCTATGTGCTTGGAGAAAAAAGGCTGCCTACTGAAA